ATTGGAATTATTGGTAGATATTTGAGAGGAGTATATATGGAAGGAAATAGAATGGAAAGACTTATAAAGGAAAAGTGAAAAGAAAAGGAAACATAAGAGAAAGAATAGAGAAAGAAGGAGAAAGAGGAGAAAAGAGAAGGAGAAGAAGGAAAAGTTGGAAAAGCTCAAGAACAACTCTCAAGCATCGATTTATCGAGGTAAGGGTGTGAAATGTTGTTATTCTATCCATGTCTATGATTATGTATGCTTGCGTTAGATTGTTGGATGTTTTTCTACAACTTCCATTTAAGGGCAAAGTGGATTTAATCGATAGAAACCTAGTTTTAACGGTCAAAAATGAGAATAAGTGGTATAATTTAGTCGAGGGAGGTTAGACTAAGGCTATGGAACTGGTTTGGTGAGAATCGGTTGGTTTTGTGAAGAGTTATGAAAGTTGGAAAGTGAGGATTTCTGAGTTCGCAGACGTTCGCTAGCACCTTCGCTAGGTGAACAGGTCACGAGCATCGCTAGCAACTCGCTAGGCGAGCAAGTTAGCGAGAGGTCCCAGACTTGGACAAAATGTATTTGAGGTTCTTCGCTGGTAGCGAATGGGGCAGCGAAGGTTCGCTAGGTCTTCGATAAGCGAGCAAGGTAGCGAACGAAGTCAGTAGCTTCTGTTTGCCTTCGCGAGCTTGTTCGCTAGGCGAACAGATAGCGAGTATTCGCTAGAGACTTGCTAGGCGAGCGAGTCAGCGAGCGTGACAACATTTGGTTTTCTTGAGATTCCATTCCATGTTGATTTCTTGGTTCGATTGTGTTCGATCCTTGTTGGAAATAAGTAATTGTATACTGTGGAACATATGTTATGGGTAGCCGTAAGGAGTGAATCCTAGATTGTGGAATTGATTATGAATTGTGGTCTTTTGACAAATATAATACATTGTTTTAATTGATTAAAGTGCATGATGAATGTTATTGTTTGTATGCAATATTATGAATGCATATTGTTTAGATGCGATTGTGTTTGAGAATGCATGAGAACATATTGTGAATATGTGTGCATTGCTTGGTAAATATATATTGATGATATTGAATATGAATATGTTGTATGTGCAATCATGTTATAATTCTTGAGTGATGAATTATTTGAATGCATGGGATTAAGATGCGGGAACGGTCTTAAGTGCATTTGGTGGTTGATTGCATATGCATCATTTAGTCAAGAGGCAATGTTTGCTAGTTTCGTGGAGACTAGTGACTTGTCCCAAACCTAGAAGGGCGGGTTTGAAAGCTTAGGTAACGAGCTTTTGTTGTTATCGGTCTAGAAGGGTGGACCCGGTTTAAGTGTAAAAACCGAAAAATGATAACAAGTGTTGGTACCACATGGCATGAGTTGCATTGAGTTGCATTGAGTCACATGATTAATGTGCATTGTTGTATGAAAGTATACTCGTATGTGAAGTATTGAATTGAGAATTATGGATGTGTGTATGATGAAATGTGTTTGGTGATTATCCATGTCTGTTTACACATATGTTGTGATGTATATGATGATTGGAATGAATTGTGGTGAGAAATGTGGAATATGTGTATTCTATGTTTGTGTATATATGTATATAATTATATGCATTGATTTTTATGATAATATTTCTCACCCTTCTGCTATTTTATAATGCTCTATGAGGCATTGCAGATTAGCTTTGATGGAGGTCTTTTGTGAAGTATAGCTTCATTCTTTTGGTCAGTTATGCTCTGATATGTAGCACCGGGTAGTTAGGCTTGTATAATATTCTTTTGGGATACATTTTGTATATGTATCTGATGGTAAATGTTTTGTAAACATGAATGATGTGATGAAACAAACTGAATGATATGTATTTATATGATTACATGCTTTAAGTAATTCAATGTATTTATAAGGATTAAAGTTCCTCTGTTGAACTACCCCACTGTTGCATGTCTTTTATAGAGCAGGTGATGTATGTTATTTTGGTGAATGATGTGGCATACTTTTTTTATACCATGTTTCAAATTTACTTTGATGAAATTTTATTATGTACTTATATGATTTATTTGTTTATTTGGGGGTATAGAAGGGGGTGTTACAGATCCCGTCAAGTACGACGAACGTGAGGGGTGCTAATACCTTCCCCTTTTGTCTTTTCCCTTTTTTCATTAGGTTTTTCTGATCGTTTCCTTTCCCTCTCTTTGGGATAAATAACGAAAGGTGACGACTATTCTGTTTTCCGCCGGGTGTTTTTCGCAATTGCGACACATGGCTTCGTAGAACTTAGAGCCGCGACGTAGACCTTGCTCCATAAGGTAGCGCTTCATATCGTCCGAGGTCGTCACTTGGACTGCCTCCCTCGTGAACCTCTCAATGTAGTTTCTGAGAGGTTCATTCGGGGCCTGGATGATTGCGCCCAGGGCGGCCTCCGTCTTCGGATGTCGTCGCGATGCTGTGAAATGCTGCAAAAAAAAGATCCTTCAAGACTCTCCACGACGTGACAGACTCAGGTTCCAGACTTTTGTACCAAGCCATGGCCCCTTTCCTCAGCGTTGTCGGGAAGAGCCTGCACTTGATGGCTCCTCGGACGTTCCTGTAGTCGAGCATGGCCTCAATGTCTTCTAGGTGATCATCCGGGTCCGCGGTACCATCGTACATGGAGAGTACGGGTGGTTTCTCCATCCCTTTGGGGATGGGGGTTGCCATAATTTCCCGCGACAGGGGAGTCCTATAGTCGTCTTCATCACTGCGGACAGGGGCGCGCGAAGGTGACAGGTTGTGTCGAGGGGGTTGGTTGCGTCCCCTCGGCCTTATGACCGGGGCTTCAGGCCTATTCGCTTTTGGTTCCGGGGAACACCTCTCCTTTCGGGGGGTGACCTGGCGCGTTTCTTGGAGGCCACAGGTTGGGGCCTCTCCAACTGTAGTCGGCGCCCCCGTGGACGGGGAGAGGGGCTCCGAGAGTTCCCGCGCTGATTTCTCCATGGGGGAGAGCGGGAGGAGGTATCCTGTTCTAGTGCGCCGATACGCTCATTCTGTTGGGACAACATCAGGTTTGTTTGGTTGATGGCTGCGAAGAGGGCAGTCAACATTGGGTCCACTCCAGCCGGCGTAGGAACGGGCTGGAAGACAGTCGGGCTCCTTGCCCGAGTTGCGACATAATGTGCCGCGTCCTCGGACGATGGAGAGGCAGTCTGACCGTCCCTGGTATCGCCCTCACGGGCGTAGGAGGTCCCCGCCTGATCGTCGCCGTTGGTGATTGGGACGAGGGCAGAGTTATGGACAGCGTCATCGTGACGTGGGCTAGTCATGATCTCAGAATTTGAAATAGGAAGCTTTGGTTCTTCTGCTCGGAGGAACGGGGAAGCTTATTTCCCACAGACGGCGCCACTGATCGTACCTGACCAGAGAGATTGCTAGGCTGCCACGCATCTGAGCTGTCGAACGATATACTTGATGGACAGAGGGGGTGTACATGAAACACATTCTGATGCCAAAGTAAGTGACGGGCAGAGCGATTACAAGTACAAAGAAAAGGAGTAAGAATTGATTACCTGACCCTCTAGTGGAAGAGGGTATTTATAATGAGCCACCAGCGCAGGGCCAACGGTTACCATGCGTTGGGCTGGGTTGATAGGCCCATCGTTGGTAACTGCTAGGGCTGACGTGGCGTCGTGAAAACCATCACGTGGTCTTCACCCTAGTGTAACTGTTCCGTGCTATCCGGGAGGTGGAGGACCGAATCATCAGGACACGGATAGTTACTTGATGACGTGTCTCCGCGTTTGACACGTAGAGAACATGGGGGAGGCCTGAGGAGCTTCCAGGGCTGGCTGGACTCTGCCCGACCGTGGGGCAGAAGAAGGCTGGTCGGACATCCATGAAGGTCCTGTCCGACGGCTGTTGGTCTGCGTCCGAGGGAGAAGATGTTCTGCCCGACGGACCTTCTACTGTTGGTTGACGAGGTCTTATTGGGCCTTCCAACTCGGTGGGGCTTGGGCCTGCTCGTCTATGGGCCAGGCGTCAGCCCAGTTCAGAACAAAACCATTACATATTCTTACACAGAAAAATAGAAAAATACTTCGTAAAAACCGTGATCAATTGACTTAAAATCAATCGGAACAATGATAATAAGAGTAAATGGTTAAATATGTTTGTGGTTCTCCTGAATATTTCAAATTTCGCTTTTAGTCCATCAAAATATTTCTTTTAAAGAATGATCCTCTTAAAATTTTTATCCACACTTTTGATTCTTAATACTAAAACCGTCGTTAAATCTATTCGCTAAATAATAAATTGTCACTAAAATCATTGCTAATTTAATCGCTAAGTTGCATGAGAAACGACGAAAAGTGTGAATAAATTATTTTAGAAAAATTCTTTGAAAAAATATTTTAAAAAATTTAAAACGAAATTTAAAATTTTAAGAGGGCGAGAAACCTATTTAAGCCGAGAGAAAATTATATATTTTTTTTTCAACATCTATGTTTCATATATTGATGGATGATGATTGATATAACACAGTTACAAGCGAAGATGGTGATATCCTCGTCATTCCAACGCCATAACAGCAATACTTACTTCATCTTTTTTGGAGTACATAACATAACAGCAATACTTCGTTGTTCCTTCCAAAAGCCGCCAATTTGGATTCTCCCAACCCAAAACCCACGCCCCCACGCTCTCCACCAAGCGCGTCACATACAAACCCCACCCCTTTTGATTTTTCTAACGTCTTTTCTTTCATCACAATAATCAATATTCAACGCAACCAAGAAAAATCCTTCATATCATACTTTTCAAATTCGAAAACCGCCACCAAAAAATCGCTGTTTCTTTCTCTTATAAATAAATTAATATTTTCATTATTCTTATCCTTAATTATTACCCCAATTTTTAAATACCCATTTGGATCGTTCATTAACTCTAGATCCAAATTCGCTACACAAAATTCATCAAAAGGCTTCTCTTTTCTCAACTGAGTTTTCGTATTCAATTTTTCAAAGGGTTTTCACCAATGGATCCCAAACAAACTACTGCCTCCAGTAGTGGTGGTGGTTTCTTTGCTTCTATTGCTTCAAGTTTGTCCAATTTAGGCTCTGCCATGTCCAAATCTGTTAATGGGTATCAATCATATTTTCAAACTTGTTCAATTTTATTTGTGTGAATATCACCGATTTACCATGTAGTGATTCTTGTTTTTATGATCATCTTTCAAAATTGGGTTTTTTCACGTGTTAGGTTATGGATGTTTCACAGTTACTATATTTATGGTTTTAATTTTACTATTTTTGTGATTTTGTTAGGTTTTGTGTTTTGGGGTTTTACTATAGATGGATTTGTTATTTGCAAATTGGAATCATTTGGTTTATATTTTAGGTTTTGTTGGGTTGATTTGTTTTATGAGCTGATTAGGTTTTTTTAATGGTTATTTTGTGATGTTGATTTTTTAGTCCTACTGGTATTGAGATTGAGGGATTGGAAGTTGTTAATCCAGAAGGAGGAACGGAAGATGCTGAAGAGGAAGCTAAAAAGGGAAGATGGAAAGAGGAGGTATAATACTACTACTTATCACCTATGAACTACTTACACAGATGTACACTGATACAATAATTGAATGTAAGTATGTGCGCATCGGTGTTGGATAGAGACATGTGTCAGACTTTCGATCTGAAGTATTAGTGCTACATAGTAACTGTTTGGTTTTGAGGCGGTCTCTCTGTAAAACTAAGTCAAATTTTTGCATCAATGTTAGAAGCTCTCTTTTGTAGCTTCTAAAAGTTATGTCAATTATGCTTTTGTATTGCTGCAAACCCGTGTAGTAGTGTGTTTGGTTTTGCGGTGAAAAGAATTGATTTTGAATGAATTGATTCAAGCTAGTAGTGAGTTGAAAAGTTAATGTGATTTATGTTTGGATATATTTATGTAAAAGTAAGTTGATCGGTAAATTTTTGATGTAAAAATTATGTTTAAACTCAAAAGCTACAAATTTTAGCTTTATGTAGAATCAATTATGGAGACAGAATCAATTCTATTTTAGGAGCAATCTATATTTTTTCATAGACACAAATTATGGATTTCCATTTTTTTAACTGAAGATGGGAATATGCATATTGAAACGTAGTGTTGTCCACTTTATGCTTTAGTCAACCGATGAGGTCTGCTCAGCATGTTAAACAGTGTTCTCAATTGCAGATCGCATTAAACAACAATTTGTTAGAATTCTGCTAAATAGCATATTTAACAACATTTTGTACACTATTATTTCTGTAGTTTATCCCTGAAGTGTTTATTTTACATTACAGGAACGGGATAGTTATTGGAAAATGATGCAAAAGTATGTTGGCTCTGATATCACATCGATGGTGACACTTCCAGTTATCATTTTTGAGCCAATGACGATGATACAAAAAATGGCGGAGGTCTGTTTAATCACATATGTACTTTGCTACATTTATTTTGTGCTATTTTAGAAAGTGTTCTATATGTAGAATGTAGAATCTCATTTGTTCTTCTTTAATTTCACAGCTTATGGAGTACTCTTACCTATTAGATATGGCGGATGAGACTGATGATCCATACATGAGACTTGTGTATGCCTGTGAGTGTTATTTCATAGTTTCCTTCTTCGCGTACGCACGCGCATGCAGAAACACATTTGTGCATACATTGCATGGAATATATGAGCTTATAGATGATTTTTGCAGCATCGTTCTTTATATCTGTATACTATGCCTATCAACGAACATGGAAGCCATTCAATCCAATTCTTGGTGAGACTTATGAAATGGCTAACCATGGTGGCATGTCATTTATAGCAGAGCAGGTGCGCTTAATGTCGTGTTTATTTTTATTCCAGTTCTTCAAATAAAATGCTGATTCCACAAACTTTACATCCTCTCTTTGTCATTTATTTTTTTCCATTGCCTCTGGAATATGCATAGGCTTTGCAGTTATTTTGTGATTTTCCTATATTAAGTATGATATTTTACTTGTGTTGACTTATAAAAAACAAATTTCTTCAGGTCAGTCATCATCCTCCAATGAGTGCCGGACACGCCGAAAATGAACATTTCACTTATGATGTTACATCAAAACTGAAAACTAAATTTCTTGGCAACTCGGTTGATGTATATCCTGTTGGAAGGTAATACTTATTCTGTCTTTATGTTTATTAAAAATAAAAAAGAAGATAAAATACCGAAATCATTGCACACATCATTTTCAAAGAGCCTTAGGAGTTGGAGTTCATTTCCTTAGCAAGTATTTTTCAAGTTGTTGTATGCATGCATATGTAACGCGCTTTTACTTACCTGGATGCAGAACACGTGTTACTCTCAAAAGAGATGGTGTGACCCTTGATTTGGTGCCTCCACCTACAAAAGTTAGCAACTTGATTTTTGGACGAACTTGGATTGATTCACCAGGGGAGATGGTCCTGACAAATCTGACTACAGGGGATAAAGCCGTGCTGTATTTTCAACCATGTGGCTGGTTCGGGTATGCTATGCGATTCAATGTTCATACAGTTTCTTGCTTGAAATGATATAAATGATTTTATTATTATATTTGCCTGACGTAATAATGCAAACATTTTACTTATTCGTTTTCCATTACGATTTTTTGCTCCATGTGTAAACTATTAATTTCAAAACTTCTTAGTGCTGCTTTTTATGTATAATATCCAACTATAAAGCATTGGATTGACATTTTGCAGGGCTGGTCGATATGAAGTGGATGGGTATGTGTATAATGTTACTGAAGAACCTAAGATTCTAATAACTGGAAAATGGAATGATTCTTTGAGTTATCAAGTTTGTGACCCGGAAGGAGAACCACTTCCAGGAACTGAGTTGAAAGAGGTTAGTAGTTCAAATCTTAAGCTCTATATTTTTCGTTGCATATAAAATTGTACAACTTTCGGGAGATGATAGTGTCACACTATTTTCTTTGATTTCTTCTTTCCGGAAACTCTTATAATTTTTAATCAAGTTGTGTTCCATTCTGCAGGTTTGGAAAGTTGCCGAGGTTCCTAAAAAGGACAAATTCCAATACACCTATTTTGCACACAAGCTTAACAGCTTTGACACTGCTCCCAAGAAGTTGTTGGCGTCCGATTCTCGCCTTCGTCCTGATAGGTTGGCCCTTGAGAAAGGTGACCTATCCGTGTCCGGCCATGAAAAGAGCAGGTAACTAACTACTGTGCACCCTCTCTAGAAACCAAAGATGACAACAGGAGTTGATTGTTCTCTTACATTTTGTCTTATCAGTTTGGAGGAGAGGCAAAGAGCCGAGAAGAGAAACCGAGAGGCGAAGAACCAGAAGTTTGTTCCTAGATGGTTTGATCTAACAGAAGAAGTAACACCTACACCTTGGGGTGAATTGGAAGTTTATCAATACAATGGTAAATATTTGGAACATCGCGCCGCAATAGATAGTTCTGATTACATTGAGGAGCCTGAAAGTAGACCAGAATTCAATCCTTGGCAGTTTGATAATTTGGAGGCTGAATAAACATTTTCTGGAGTTCTTTTCTTATAACTCATTTTGTTATTATAAGTTTGTAATGTATCTATTATTGAACACTTGAGATTTCATTTTTTGTTTTTTGTTTTTTTGTTTTTGGGTTGTGTTATGCTGTTGTCGGCTTGTAGCATTTGATTAATCAATGTTAGCTATGTTAGTTAAATCTATTTTAAAGCTACCTTCCTTGCTTCTTGTGACATTTTCTTTATATACTTTTCTGATGATTTTTTGGGTCAAGTTCCAGTAACATTTTACTTAAGGATATAGTCATTTTCAAATGTTAGTGTGGCACAATGTTTTTTTATAAAGTTCAGCCTGAGTTAAAGGAATTGCTCTTCATCTTGAGTTATTTTATGATATAATACAATTACAAGCTTATGAATTCTAACCACCTTCTCAAAATACATTGTTGAAGTTAGCAACAGGGACGTGAAGAACAAAACAGTGGTAGGGCATCGTTAAAGTGAGAGGCATTAGATTGCTAGGTTCAAAGCTTCTTCCTATTGTAGTGCAAGGCAACAACTCAATTATGGTAAAATTCTTTTTAAAAAATGTCTTTCACAAATGTCCATAATCTGTTTATTGAAATTTCTCAAGCAAATGTCGTATATATTGCATAGAAAAGAGACATGATTTTTCATTGTTCAATGACTCCTACTCAAATAAGAGAGGTTTACATTGTCCATTTTTGGAGTTCCGTTGTTCAAATTGTTAAGGAGAGGAGCAAACTCCAAAGAATTTGGAGCCACATAATTAAACCATATACAAAGGACCTTGATACCTCTGAGGAAAAGGAACGGGTGGTTTTGGATATGGCTATTAGAGAGACTACTCACAACACATATCTTCATTTTGAAGAGTATATTTCATAGTTGTCATTAGAGATGTTAAAAAAAAATCATTGAAGGGAACCAAACCGTCAAATTGAATTGAATTGGAGTTAAAATAGCCAAACCATATTTTATTAATAGTTCTAAAACCAAATCGATAAGCAATTAACCAATTTCAGATTGATCCGAACTGAACCAATAAACTAACTTCTATGTTTTAACTTTTAATAACTTTAAACATTAGTAAAATCTAAGTCATTGGAACTTTGGAGAATTAAAAGATGACCAAAAATCCTAAACCCCCAATTTGGTGAAGAAGCTCAAATTGTCAAGAAACGTCAAATTATATTTTCGTTTTGAATCAAATCCAGAATTAAGATCACTCTAATAATCTAAATCCACTCTCACCACTAAAGATTCATAATCGAAGGCTAGGAACTCAAAATCAAAATCGAAAGGTAACAAAATCATATTCTGTTTATCATTAAATTTGACTCATCTTCATTTTTCATATAAATGCCATCCTTCCAATGTTTTCCATATTCAATAATATGGATTGTAAACCATTGTTCGATTCTCACAGTCACAAAGTTTATTGAGATGCTAGTATAATAATAATAGTGGTGGGTCAAAGGAATAGACCAAGAAAATCGAGTATTTGGATGAATCTAGGAGGGCTAATTTTAAGGGTAAGGGTGTTAGGTCTGTAGAGCATGGGATTGATGATCATAATATGATGGGCGAGTTTAAAAAGCCTTTTTTGAATGCTTTAGACATGGCTAAAAGATAATTCTTTATCCCACCCCTTGACCTTCTTAGGTACCATGCGCTTTGCCTAAAATATCTTCTGATTTCGGAAATGTATCTCTAGACGCACTTTTTTTAATTATTTCCGTAGATGCATCTACGGAATATTTCCATATGTGTATTTACGGAAGAAACCTAGAAACAGAATACCAGAAAGTCAACATTGTAACGATAAAATCAACATTCATAAAATAAAGTTGGCGTTACATTGATGATTTCGACATGAATTTAAATACTACATTTCAATAGTCCGGTGGACGCTTGCACATCTCTAAGATGTCATCGATTGTTCTTCAAATTGTCGCCTCCAACTCGAGCGGAATTTTCTCTTCGAAACCGAAATACGTTCGCCACATCGCCATAACATCGTCTTGATTCTTGAGCTCAAATTTGTTGTAAACAATGTTCCCTTCGTTGTCAACTGAAGGTGAACGATACTCAAACTTTACAACCTTTCGTTTGTCATTGTAAGGTAGGCCATATTGGATCTCGTCTATGATATCGAGGAGGGGGTGAGATCCATGAACTTGAACGTCCTCCCGGGTGTTTTGCCTTCGGAAAAGGAGACACTTGCGACATATCAACAGATCTTGATTTCAAACAATTAAGACATTTTTTGTGTGAAAGATAACAAATGAAACCCCAAATTTATAGAAAACCTAGGTGAATATGGACCAACCATTTTCTGTCAAACTTTTTTCCAGAAGTGTATCTCCGGAACTTTCCCTGAAACTGGAAAATTAAGAACCTTCCATAGATACATATCTGAAACTTTTCCTGCTACATTCTTAAACCAAAACTCAATATAGAAGCACATCATAATAGACAAATAAACGGAATAAGTGCATAAATAAGGCATAAGACTAAAAAGTGACTATTTTTCACTTAATTTTTTTTACAATTAGTCGTCCGATTATACAAGAATTCAAAACGAATCAAAACAAATGTCGCTGGCTAAATCTGTTCGTGGTACCCCTTTGGACGTTACCGTATTCAATTTCTTTTCAATGTTGTTAAATCTTTCGAATTCGTGCATCCTTTCAACAAAACGATCCAGATATGTCTTGGCATTTGTGGTTGAATGAGTCGCCCATTCTGGTGATGTAGGTGGTATGAGACATCCCGGTTTTAAGTAAACTTGTACAAAATGTCTTGATTTTGCAAGCCATCCAATACACATGATGCGGTCATTTGGATTTTGAGGTGGCGCGATGCGGAGTGGAAAAAAGGTTTATGAAAACCCGTATCGCGTCAAGTAAATCCACACCCTAACATATGCACATGCAATAAGATGTCCCATATCAGGGAAGGTAATCCATTTCGACACCAGTGTCGGACCACTCAAGCAAGGAACAAGAGATTCATAAACCACATCGAATTTTTCTTTCTTTCCATACAACTGCGTGTACAATTTTTTATGCGTCTTCAACTCTTGGATTAGTTAATGACATACAAGCGCATAATTATCCTCTCCTTTACCAAGCAAAGTCGAAATAGCTCGGTAACTGTAATTACCATCCCCTTCAACATTGACAGTATGGTCGATGTATTTGTGTATGAAAATCGACATCTCGTCGATGAATGGAATTTTCAGTGGAATTGGGGTCGGAGGCGGTTTGCTTATGCGGGCTCCTTTCATGACACTTTTTTTAGATTTAGGAGTCGGTGAGTCGGGATAAAGTTTCTTAAGGAGTCGGTGAGTCGGGATGAAGTTTCTTAAGGAGTCGGTGAGTCGGTGTAGTCGAGTTGTCATTCGGTGTAAGCTTCATTTTCTTCAGAGCACCTTTTGTCTTTATCGATTGAGAAGGCGGTTTCATGTTGGTTGTTTTGGGATAGGAAATCTTCCTCAATTTTTTTTTTGATGTGGAGTTTCATTTTGCCATCGGCCTTTGAGAATCTCTCTTGTATCACTTTCCATTCTGTCAAAATAGAGATATTTGGTTTACCTCCTTCCATGCAACCATCATCATCAAAACTAAGTCTTTTCCAATGAGGGGAAACTTTGTCCATTCTTATTGGCTCACCTAGTTTCAACTTTTTAGCGATAACACAAGCACACAGAAGACCATAGGTTTTCACAATAGTGTAACCACACTTTGCACTATCGGAACCTACAGTTTCAGCTTGTTTGGCCTCGTTAAAAATATAGTTCAACCCCAGCCGGGACATATTGCCGATCAATTGAGAATAAATAATGTTGAATTTAAATCGATGTTCCAATACCGTTATACTCTGACCAAATGCTGTTTGTATCTCGTTATGTTGGTTTTTAATCATGAGATTTACAGAGTCCCAATCTCGACACAAATCCCTCTTGCTATTACCTAACCAATTTTTCAAACTAGCATGGGCCGACTCAACTCTGTTGGTGGTTATATTTCTAAGGTGTCGGACATTATCAGTCTACGCACAGACTATCTTCTTCTTCACCTGATCAAGAATGGTGCTTTCAACGTATTTCAATAAAGTAGGATACTTTTCACACTTTTTAGAATTAAATGAAGGAATCGGCATAAAATTATTTTGTTGAAGAATTTTGTATACGATTCCATGCATCCATTATATTTTCAGCAATCACAGCGGCCTTCTGTAACACCCCAAATTCTTGGAATATTTATTTAATTTATTTAAATATGAATATTCGCAATTTCGGTGATTTTCGATGGTCAGTGTGAATATTGGGAATTATGGATTTTGGGTTATTTATTTAAATAATAGTATATAATATGAATATATTGATATTATTATTAATTTAAATAAATATAAGTGAATTAAGGGCAAAGTGAACATTTGAGGAGGAGTTAGTGAGGGTGAAGTTGGAAAGCCCAATTTTAAGGCCCAAAGTTAGGTTTAACAAAAAGGAATTTTGAGGGAATTAAGATTCATTCTTGTAAGACCGTGAAAAGGGAAGAAATAGAGGTCAGAGCTCTGAGGAAGAGGATTGAGGCAAAAGCTTCGCAAGGTTTCCAAGAATCAAGGAGAAATGCTTAGAGTCGGCAATTAAGATATGAGGAGTATTGCCTTCATTATTTTCGATATGTGATTCAATGTATTTAGAGTTGATTTAAGGGTTTAGGGATTTTTGAGTATTGAATTGTTGTTGCCTTTCTAATGGTGTGTTCAATGAGTTTGAGGGATTTGAACTGATGGTCTGATAGGTTTGAGGTTGATTTGAGAATAAGGGAAATTAGGCCTTCATGGCCAAATCTATTGTTGAGGTTGTTTAACCGTATAGGGTAAGGGATTGTGAGAACCTTAATGACTATGGTGTAGTTGTAAGAAATTATGGGAATTGGAGGCGTAAATATGATACGAGATTGGCCTAATAAGTCGTAGATTTTGTACCTTATC